GAAAGTTAAACATACACGATGGGTACAGGGTTTCAGTTTTGAGAGGGGAAAACAGTTCTAGAGGATAGAAAGTAGTGATGGCTGCAAACAATATGAATGTACTTAATGCCTTTAAACTGGATACTTAAAAATAGTTAAAGGTGATAAGTTTTATGTTATGTGTACTTTCTCAGAATTAAAAAAAAAATTAAACATATACTTATTGTGAGATTCAGCCATTCTACTCCTAGGTATTTATTTTAAGAGATAAGAAGAAGTCCATATGGGGTGCCTGGGTGGCTCAGTTGGCTAAGCATCTGACTTCAGTTCAGGTCATGATCTTATGGTTCATGGGTTCAAGCCCTGCGTTGGGGTCTGTGCTGATAGCTCTCAGCTTGGAGCCTGCTTGAGATTCTGCGTCTCCCTCTCTGCCTTTCCCCTGCTCGTGCTCTGTGTCTTTCTTCTTCTTCTCTCTCTCAAAAATAAATATTAAAAAAAAAAAGTCCATACAAAGATGTTCATAGCAGCTTTTTTTCCGCCACTGCCGTAACAATTTTATTTGTCATGGCCCCACATTAGAAGCAACCCAAATGTCCATCAGTGGGTGAATGGATAAAGCAATAAAAAGGAGTGAACTACTGATACACAAATCAACATGATGAACCTCAAAATAATTATGCTGAGTGGAAGAAGTCAGACAAAAAAAAAGTACATACTTTATATTTCCATTTATATAAAACTCTTAGCAAGGTAAACTAATCTACAGTGACAGAAAGCAGGTAAGTAGTGTTGGAGGAGGGGAGTGGGGAGGAGCGGAAAGAAGGGGTTATTACAAAGGGCATGAGGAATCTTTTTGGGGTGATGAATGTGTTCACTATTTTGACTGTGGTGATGGTTTTACAAGTACAAACATACATCAAAACTAATCAAATTGTGCACTTTAAATATATACAATTTACTACAGGTCAATTATACTTCAAAAAAGCTGCTTAAAAAAATACAGGTTATTTTAGAAACCTTCGAGAGAAGTAAGTATTCAGTTCCTCAGACAGATCTCCACAGGTCATTGTCATATGGTTAAGTTCTTTTGCAGTTAATTCTTAATTGTACTTTACTGTATATTGTATTTTATATACAATATATACTGTATTTGATTTACTGTATATTATTATATTTCATTTACCATAGTCTTACATCCAGAGGGAAAAGGAGAAAAATGTCTCCCTTGCCCACTGAATAATTTTATGGGCTACAATTCCTTATAACTTATTTGGAAGACTACCAAATGATACCTAACACAAAGTAGGGTAGGTTTCCAAGTACATACAACCCAGTCAATGGTGAATTCATTCTGTTCTTGGTATGAGGCTTTTTCCTTATACTAAGCACTTAACATTTTTTTCCCCAAAACTCCAAAACACAAACGGTGAATTAGGACTATTCTAAAAGCTGTTCTCTTTTTCACAGAAAGTAGCATAAGTAGTATAATGATAGAGAAATTTTGTCTTCATGTTTAGAATTTTATCTTACCCATCAATTTGTTGACATTTTGTTTCTGTAGGTGGCCAATGAAGTGCCATTTGATCTCAGGACACGAAGACAGAATCTGAAGGAAAAAAGGTAACCATGTCTGACTCAGAATTTATGAAGGCCATGCCGGCTCAAATACCTTACACACTCCCTTCTGACTTCTCATGTCTACGCAATAAACTGCTATCGCCCTCTTCAGCTGGGCTCCTAAGGATACTACTACCTAAGGCTTCTGCTCTGTTCCTCTTCCTTATTCCCATTAGCTCCCTCCATCTTTTAGATATCATCCATTAAGGGCGAACTGATTATGGGGCACCTGGCTGGCTCAGTTGGTAGAGCATGCGACTTGTGATCTCAGGGTCATGAGTTCAAACCCCATGGTGGGTGTGGAGACTTCTTTAAAAAACAAAAAATGAAAAAAACCCCAAGAAAGATGAACTGAGTAAAGCTTTCCAATCTCAGAGGATCCAGGATTATAGCAAGCTCCTAAATTACCATATCCAAAAAGCTGCAAAGGAGATGACTATAGTCTTAGTTTTAATAAAGAAAGAAAATCTAGCTGAGATTTATTTGGAGCTCGAGGTGAACGGAGACATTTCTACTGCCAGTCAACCTTGCTATAAAACCCAACCACCAACAAGGGTCTAACTTTCAACTGCGGAGCCAAGATTAGATGCAAACTCAAGAATTCAGATATTCACTTACTTTGGGATTTGATGCTTTTTCTAGCAGTTCTTGAACCTGAAGGGTAAAAACAGAACAAGTGAGAAGCCTGGCAATCACAACTCTTCCAGAGGGAGTTTGGAAAAGGGATCTTACGTAGTTCTCCCCGAAAGTGCGCTGGCCATGACTGTAGGCTTCAATCACCATATCTGCAGGTTTGGTTTTGCTGACTGCTACTAGTCGGGGCTGGATGGCTGGGAGATCCTGCCAAGAGAGAAAGAGCCCAATGGGTGAACGTTTAGGAATATTATTCCAGTGACTTCTATAAGATAGACCCTGTAGGATCAGCTGGCATAGGTCTTAACTTGACATTTGGTAAGCTCCATTATTCTTATACTGGAGGGGGACCAGTATCAAATAATGTTGATCAAATGTCTTTCAAATGCATGGCATCCAAATCTAATATGGTAGCTACTTTAATACCTGGCAAAACACAGTTCTCTCTCAGGAGACCTGGGAAGGTAAGTAAAAGCAGTATTTCCTTAAAATGCGGTCTTTGACCAACTGCATCAGCATCATCTGGGTACCACTCCAGACTTACTGACTCTGAATCTCTGGGGCTGGAGTCTAAGAATTTCCTTTTTTTTTAATTAAAAAAAAAATTTTTTTTTTTTTTTTTTTTTTTTTTTTTAAATTTGAGAGAGAGCACAAGTGGGGGAGGAGGGTTAGAAGGACACAGAGAGAATCTTAAGCAGGTCCCATGACCAGCATGGAGCCTGATGTGGGACTCGATCCTATGACCCTGGGATTATGACTGGAGCTGAAATCAAGAGTCGGACTCTCAACCGACTGAGTCACCCAGGCGCCCCCGAGAATCTCCTTTTTAAACAAACTCTTCAGATGATGCTCTTGCATGCCAACTTTGGAGGTTTAAGAATCAGTTTGTTAAGGGAAGGCATTACTCTCTGACTAGAGGGGATACCACTTCTGGCTTCTGAAACCCCAAGGTTAAATTTTGGAAACTCATTCTGGTCCTGGTATATTCAATAATATTGCCCCCCCCCCCCAAAAGTGGCCTGTGTAGGGTAGCTATGTAATTTATTGTTCAATCTAATTAAGAACCAGCAGCAGAACTGAGGCAGGGACACCACAAACTCTGGACTGAGGGTTAGGCCCATATGACCCTCTTACAGCCATCACGTAAAGAGCAGGGCTTCCCTGAACTCTGCTGCAATCAAATCTATACAGAGGCAACAAGAGATCCACCTATCCTCATATAGCTCAGTTTTCACACAGCCGATGACCCTCTGCAATTTTTACAGAATCACTGTATTTTCAAAGGCTCTAAAGATTCAGATCCATTAGCAAAAAGTTCCAGCTTCCTTCTGAGGGATGATGCATCACCAGCCTTTTATGAGATCACGTCATAGCTCCTAGGATTACGTTGACGAATTGATGACTTCCAGAGAGAAAAGTGGAACAGGCGGCCCATCCACCTGTGGAGTTATGCTGGGAGAACTTCCCAGAGTGATGTTTATTAGGGAGATCCCTAGCTTTCCTTGGAGAATCGCCGAGAATCATAGAACATTAATGCCTTAATGACTGGCTTAAAAGGCAGTCAGAGCTCATTCCGTTGCCTATCCAGGTGAGGAAACTCCAGGCCAGAGCAGTTGAGTGACTTAGTTCAAGGTAAGCCAAGGAAAGACTACACTGATACAGATCTTCTGTCTCCAGAACAGCATTCTGAGTTCTGACACCATAAATGCTTGATGGGGGAAACTCTGACCTCTCTGTTCAGTTGTGTCTCACTCCACACCATTGGCTTAAACTTGCAGTGAGGGGGAGCAGACACTGACCCTTGATCTAATGAAATTCCCAGAGGAGACAAAATATATTAGAAGGGGCGGGGGGAATCTCCCTCTAGACTGCTTGGGATTGGATGTCAGCCCCCCTCGAGTCCAAACGTGCTATGCAGCTCTGGGGTCTCCAGAACCCGGCCCGTCCACCGTCTCTTTCACCTCCGGGTGGAGCTGACTGTTCCTGAGCACCTACTAGCAGTCAGACGCTGCCACACACGTGATCTGGGGATCTGGCCTCCTCTGGGTGCTCCTGTAGTAAACGTCTCCTCTTGTAGCCTCTGGGCACGGGACTGGCGCTGCTCCTGTCCGCTAAGGCTGTTGGCCACGACACGAGGTGGGACGGGCAATGGTCACGCTGCTGGGGGACTGGTCATTTTCCCGGGTAGTGGATACCTTCTGCTCCAACTAAGCCAACCTCCAGAAAACCTGACAGACTCACGGCGAGGTGGCTGGCTGAGGACACCGTTCGCTAAGCGTTTTGGGGGCTCTGCAACCCGAGCCAAAGTCAAGGCGGAAGGACGGCTCCCGCCCCTCCGGGAGACCCCTCTGCGTCACCGTGACGACCCATTCCCACGCAGGTGTTTCCCCCTCCTCAAAGCAGCCGCCCACCATCCCCACGCTGTCCCCTTCCTCACCCGCGGCCGCCGCGCCACCGCCTGCTGCACGCGCTCGTTCACTGCCCGAAGTGCGAACCCGACTCCCAGCTCCGCCGACATGCTGCCAGCTCTCCACATCCCCCGGGACGAACGCAGAGCCCCAGACCCGGGAGCCCCCCCAGGCAGAGACCACCTTCCGGTCCCGCCCAGTTCACGGCTGGTGTGACCCAATCGCAGCTCACCACTGAGTCGTCTCACCCAATCGACACCGGGCAGCGCGGGGGCGGGACGGGGGCAGTGTGGCGGGAGGCCCCACCCCGCCGCGGCGGCCATCTTGGGGAGGTCGTCCCGGCCTTACTGGGGACAGCCTGGCCCCGCTCTGGAGGCGGCGCTCCGGAGGCGGGGGTGGGTGTGGGGAGGCCGGCCTGACGTGGTTCCGGTGCCCCCTGGCAAGCCTTGCCAGTCCTCCTGCCTGAGCCACGGTCCCCGTCCCCGCGGGAGCTTCTTGACGCAAAAAACGCGGCCTGTTCCGGGGTCCTGGTTCCTTTCTAAAAGACCCACATTTTTGCCGGTCCCTGGCGTTGAGAGAGCTGTGAGTTAAGATTTCTGTGCGCGGGGACCAGGGTTCGAAGCTGCTAGAGCCGGAGACATGGCTGCTGGTGTCTCAGATGAGGCTCGTGAGGAACCCTTAAGAGACAGAAAACAGTTTCTGGAGGAAACGGCACGATTCACTTATATGGTTATTCTTGTCATCCTTGTCACCAGTGCTGTCAAATAGCAATATGATGCGATCCACACATGTATTCAAAGAATTACCAACAGGCGCAGAAAAAGTAAGACATTTTAATGAATACATTAAACACCACGTTAAAACCCAGTACCTCCAAGGTAAGGTTTCGGTATGTAACCAATAGGAAACCTTACTGAGATCTTTTTAAGCGTACGTAATTTACAAAACCCGGTGCAGAGTTTTGACTTACCGCATGCCCCAGTTCGGGCTATCCATTATTTCAAGAGATTGGTGACCACCTGCGGTAGCGCTGCCTTATCAGAGGGCACAGGTGGCCTTGGACCGCCTAGCATGAGCTCCGCACACATTCAGTCCAGTCTTGAGTGTCCTTATGTGTCCAGCTCTGGGCAGTGTGAAGGTCATAAACATGGCGAGGAGCCAAACAATGTAAAGGCTAACACAGTAAAATACGAAGTTTAATAGATGGTGAAATAGTAGGTGCTGTGGGCGGGTAGAGAGAATTCTGTTACGGAAAGTGCTTTTGGCTGTACTGTTTAAAGATTCTCAAACGTTTCAACTGGCTGGAGTGGGACGCTATTATGTTGGAGAAAGGGCCAAAGTGCATCCCCCAGGTTGTCTTGGGGTGACTGGGCTTACTTCAAATCTTCAGGAAATAAAGGGCAATATTCTTTCTTCTATTACCATCTCCCCAGGCCCCAGGAACTGAGATAAAATTTCATATGTTGTGTTCCGGAAAATCACTTTGAGCAGAACCGAGGGTGCTTGCCATCAAGAACTACTTTGGGGGAAGTTTCTGTTTCCAGGTAACTGGGGGTATCTGTAAATTAGGGTTGTCAAAATGGCTCTGGACTTGATAATTTCTACTCCTGACAAAATGATAAAAATTTTAAAAATGACTAGAATAATTATTCATGGTGTGTATATAATAGACCCTTGCTCTAGAGAGATGGAGTCGAAAGGTCTGGGGCTAGGCAGTGGTCACTGGTGAAACAAAAGGGATTACAGTGATGGAGACCATGTTGAAGAGATGTATAAAGGAAGCATTGGGTGAACCTGACATAAAGTGACGCGCTATTTGGAAAACATTTAAAAAACGGTAACACCTCATCAGAGCTAAAGGATGTACAATCCAGGTGATAGGTTATTACGATAACAAGTAGGAGTAACTTCATAGGTCAGGTGTCGTCTTTGAATTCTAAGGTCAACCTCCCCACCCCGGCCTCCACTGTTGAATGTGTGCATGGCTCCCAAAAAGGCATCAGGAGAGTGATTTGAACTTTCTTTTTTTTTTTTTTTTTTAATTTTTTTTTTTCAACGTTTATTTATTTTTGGGACAGAGAGAGACAGAGCATGAACGGGCGAGGGGCAGAGAGAGAGGGAGACACAGAATCGGAAACAGGCTCTAGGCTCTGAGCCATCAGCCCAGAGCCCGACGCGGGGCTCGAACTCACGGACCGTGAGATCGTGACCTGGTTGAAGTCGGACGCTTAACCGACTGCGCCACCCAGGCGCCCCTGAACTTTCAAGTTAATAAGGATAGTGGTGCCAAGATTGGGTAGTGGTGGCACAGGATTGACACACCGAATTTTGGCTTCATTGTTGAACTGGCATCTTGGATAAGTTACTGAAGTTCTTAGTTTTTCCTTTATAAAATGGAGTCACAATCTCCTTCAGAGCTGCAGGGGGGGATCAATCAAGATAACGTGTTAACACCCTTAGTAGAGTGCTCTGCCAAAGCGAGTGCAAAAACGTTCAACACGTGAGTTCCTCCACCCTTCTTATCTATTCAGTCAACATTTATTGAGGCATTTCTCTGTAAAGGTACCTTTGGGGAGACCAGGATGAGTAAGACAGGCTTTACTACGGATTCATTTCTAAGATGCTTTTCATCGCTAACCTTCTATAACTCTATGGAAATAAATGGAAGTAAAGGCAAAAAGATCAAGGTGACCCCGGTCTCATCATTTCACATTTTCCAATTTCTTTACTTCTTAGCTATGCTTTTGAATGAATTGTATTCCACTTTTTTCTCCTGGTTTTCCTTTTTAATTTCTTCTCTTCCTCTTTCTGGGACATCAACCATGTAATTTATTTAACCTTTCATTCTTCCCTACCACCTAATCCTTAAAAAATGGAAGTCCACAATCACATCATCACCAGCAACTGTCTTTACATTGCTCTGACAGTTTGCAAGGATAAAGGGGAGAAGAGAAAGATTAAAAAGCCAAATACCCAGAGGAACAGATTATATAATTTTATAAAAATCTAGTATACTTATTCATCCTAAAGGCCATCAAGTGTTTAAAAAATTCACCTCTATAGTCTGAGGCCCTGAATTATGGGAAATGCATTCATGGATTTTAAAACTGTTTTCCTTCTGCGCATACTGTGATTCTTTCGGGGATAAAAAGAGATAAAATAATAGAAAATTAATGTTGCCTGGTTACTTGGCTCTAAAGAGAAATGGAGAAATAATGTCTGTGCCCCAGTTTAAATGAATTGAGGTAGAGAAACCATGACAACAATCCCTCAGCAAACATACTGTCACATTTGGCTTTTGAAATGTGAATATAGATTCTAGAACCACAGACCTAGGGAGGACCTTTAGAGATCATTTGATCTTTCATACAGAATTAGAATGACATTTAAACCCTCCAAACAGCATAGAATCTCCCCAATTTTTGAAAAGCATCAGAGAAAATATTATTCATGTTAATCCCTGGATTTATTTCCTATTTGCACACAACTACTTTTCTGGATTTCAAATTTTAGCTGGTCTTATCTCAAGTAGAATCTTTTAAAAAATACTTCATTCTACAAACTAATTTCCTCTTCTCTGGTCTCTGGGGAGCTAGAGGATACCTAGCCAACCATTATGCAACTTCTATGAATGTGAAGTCGCTAAATTCCCCTTATGCCTTTTATGGGGTCAACCCATGGGCTTTATTTTCTTACTTTTTACATTTTGGTCTTAGCATTTTGCTTTGCTAGCCTCCTCAACTCTTTTTATTTTTTATTAAAAATTTTTTTTAATGTCTTATTTTATTTATGAGAGATACAGAGCTTGTGCGTGGGAAGGGCAGAGAGAGAGGGAGATCGGGAATCCGAAGCAGGCTCCAGGCTCTGAGCTGTCAGCTCAGCACAGAGCCCAAAGCGGGGCTCAAATGCACGAACCAAGAGATCATGACATGAGCCAGAGTCAGATGCTCACTACTGACCGAGCCACCCAGGTGCCCCACCTCAACTGTTTTTAAATCAGAGAACTGGGAGTTCTCCACAGGACCAAACCTACTTACTTTTTACATATGCCATTTCTGTAGAAGCTGTATTCTTAATACTGTTTGCTGCATTCTAATATTGTTCCCCTTTCCCTCTCTGTGCCGGGCAGTCTGTAATCTTATAGTGGTACCCACTTTATAGTTGTATGCTTCCTAGGCCTGTTTTTCCAAATGATTGAAAATGTTATTTCTGAGCACTTACCCACAGTAGGCACAGTGCTAACCCCTTCACATGCGTTATTTCATTTCCTCCACTCACCCCATTTTATAGATGAGGAAACTGAGGCTCAGAGAGGTTAAAGAATTTAAGGCCATACACCTAAAAAATGGTAGAGCAGGGATCTAAATCATGGCAGTCTAACGCCAGTAACTACATTCTTAACTTACCTGTTCAATTGTAAGTTTATAGTATTTGCGTAGCAGCTCTGAAACCAATAGAAAAAGTTTGGGAGCATCATTAAAAAAAAAAAAAAAAACTCAGAAAGACTGGGCTAGGGTTGCCAAGTTTGGCAAATAAAAATATAGGATATCCAGTTAAGTGTGCATTTCATATAAATAATATATTTTTAGTGTGTCTCATGCAGTGTTTGAGACATCCTTACACTAAAAATTATTAGTTGTTCATGTGAAATTCAGACTGAACGGAGCACCCTGTATTTTGTTTGGCAGCCTTAGGCTGGGCGGCTTTCCGGAGTAGAGACTGTGACTTTCTCACTAAATTGATATCAAAATGAGTTTTGGCTCAACTCAAGGTATCTCTGCCCTTTGGGGAAGTGCAGCCACTATGGATTCTTTAAAATCAGCAACCTCTACAGCACCTACCCAGAGTCATGCCAAGCTTACAGATTAGTTGTTTACTGTTTCTACATTGATGATGGGGGTATTCGTCTGAATATATTTATGTATATATATATATTTTAAAGTTTACTTTTGAGAGAGAGAAAGCACGTACAAGTGAGGGGGTGGGGGGAGGGAGGGAG